ACGCGCTTTAATCGGGCGCGCTTTAGTGGACCGCGGTTTTGTCGTGCCACGCGCAAAAGCGCTTGTGGAGGGGAGCCATGGCTTGATGGAAGCCAATCCTATGAGGTTGGTTGCAGGTTCAGTGTATTAGTGAATGAACTGCAACCAGGCTGAGTCTGCCACCGTCTTGCTCTGCCCCCCCCCTCCCCGTCCTCCCCCATCGTTGACTTCCTTGAAGCAAGTCACCTCCTGGCTGGCACTGGATGCTTTGCAAGGCAGGCACAAACACTTTTAAGTCAGCTCAGTCTCCCCCCCCTCCCTCTCTGGCATGAAGGAACAGATGCCCCCCCCCCCTCCTCCCTGAAAAGGCAGATGGTCCTCGCCTTAATTGGAGCCGGGGTTTTTGACTGCTAAGCAAGGTTAAGTTAAGGGACTGGTGCCCAGTTGCGCGACCTTTTTGCCACAATGATTATAAGGAAATCACTGCAGTTGTTACGTGGCTGTTAAAAGCTAATCCGGCTTCCCTGTTGACTTTGGCAGGGAAGGTCACCGGCGGCAATTACGGGCTGACGCAACCTTCCTGCCATAGGTGCTGGTTGCCAAGTGCCGAATTTTGATTTTGGGACCGTGGGCATGCGAGTCACTTATTTTCAGTGCCCTTGTAACTTCAGGCACCTTGCTAAATGAATAGCAATAGCCATGGCCCCTTAGTGGTTCCCAAACTTGGCAACTTTTAAGACTTGTGGACTTCAAGTCCCAGAATTCTCCAGCCAGCTCTGCTGGCTGGAGAATTCTGGGAGTTGAAGTCCACAAGTCTTAAAAGTTGCCAAGTTTGGGAACCACTGGCTTAGACTGATATGCCGCTTCACGGTGCTTTCCACCCCTCTAAGCAGTTTGCAGAGTCAGCCTCTGGCCCCCAACAACCCGGCTCCCCATTTGAACCCACCTCGGAAAGACGAAAGGCCGAGTCAACCTTGAGCCTGGTGGGATTCGAACCGCCAAATTGCAAACAAAGCAGCCAGCAGAAGCAGCCTGCAGTACCGCTCCGTGACCACTGCGCCACTAGGGCAGTGAATGGCTGTCAGCCGAGGATTACGTTAAAAGACTTTTTAAGTTTCTGCCACTTCCCTTTTATAATCTTCAAGCCACCTTGTGGCAGTCAGTTCCGCGGGAGAATTATAAGCGGCATCTGCTGAAGCCCTTCTTTTCTTGCAGAAGATGCCCTGGGAGCATTACGAGTTCATGCATCTTTCTAATCTCCCCCCCGCCCCCAGCCCCCTCCCGTACATCTCTCTCTGCTAGTTTTTGAGTTTTTGCAGTTTTTTTTTAATTGGCCTGTTTTGGTGGCACTTTTACCGGGAGCTTGGAGGGATGGGGCAAGTCAGCTGCTTCAGACCCTTCCCTCTACCCACCCACAGACCAGGAAGGGGCCTTGGGTAGAGGAGTCCCCTGTAAAATGGAGGGGAGGGGTGAGGAAGCCCCTATCCCCCAGGCTGATTCCTCCCCCTGCCTGCTCTACTGTTTTCCTGGGCCGCTTGTGCCAATGCCAATTGTGTTCTGCCCAGCACATCTGTTTTGCAAGGGGCTGCATCCCAACAGCTGCGCTTTGTTTAAAGGCCGCGGGGGAGTGGCTGGAGGGGGGGGGGAAGTAGCACATTCCCGAAATAAACCTTTTTGTTTTTAGAATCTGCGGTTTCATTTGGGTTTTGTGTGAAGGTTGAGAGTCTGCAGGTTTCAAGGCCGTTGCCATCCCGGTGGCAGCTTGCGAAGAACACTTCCAGGCGGCCGGCGGCCGAGGGGCAAGGCTGCCGTGTTTGTCCAGGGCATAAAGAAGCCATTAATCAGACCAGTCCAGCTTTTGGCCAATGAGGCTTCCCAACAAGAAGGGTGGGAGAGAGTGACAGGACCCAGCCTTAATTTTCCCTGCCTTTCTCTGGCTCCAGCCCTCCAGGTAGCCGCTGGGCAAGGCTCGTTCCAAGAAGAAGCCTTGTGCCTGGCAGCCCGTCTGAAGGTAAGTCACAGGTTTCTGGCTGGAAGCAGCATCTCGGGAGCCTGGCGGGCTGAATTTTAGGCAGGCGGCCCGGCTTTCCCAGGAGTCCAGAGGGGATTCTTCTCAGCCCTCTGCAGCCTCTCTCGTCTTTGGGCTGCTCTTCCTCCGACTGGCCTGAGCACCTCCCCCGGCTGCTAGCAGAGGGGGGCTAGGCGCTTGGGGCTTGGAAGGCAGGAAGGAGCTCCAAGGGTGAGGGGCGGAACGTGGCCTGGGTGCTGCCAGCTACAGTGCCTGCTCATCAGTGGAGGCCAGAGGGTAGAGGACAGCGGGCTTTGTGGCGTGTGTCCTGCGGAGAGAAAACGGAAAACGGGTGGCATGGGGATCGTGCTCCTTCCCACCCGCCTGGCCTTCCTGGGGGGGGGGGGGGGCTTGCACCCTAGGTGGGCCTGCACAGAAGTGGATGAGCACGTGGGCCAAGCAGTAAGCAGGGCTCCGCGTGGCTCTCCCGCCGTGAGGCTCCCTCTCACCTGCTTGCCTGCCTCCGGTGCTTGCGAACGTAGAAGAGGAAGGCGAGCGCTGTGGCCACAAACAGGGATCCAAAGAGAATAGCCAGAATGTCCCCTGCAGAAAAAGGTCCCCTGATGATGAATTCCCCCATGGGGGACAGGAGGGGGCACGTATCAAGTTGGACTGCAGCCCTTCAGACCCAGGATTAATGTTGGGAATTCACACGCAGCAACTGCCCTCCCCTCCACACCCCCAAGTGGCTGCCTAGTTCAGGCTTCAGGGGCAGGCAAGTCGCCTCTGGGAGCCCCATGGAAGGACCTGGACCTTTTCCGGGCACAATTGCTGTCGGTGTCGCCATCACACTCGCAGTGGGAAGGGAGAGCTGGCACAGCCAGTTTTGCAAGCAGGTGCCCAGGCACTTACCTGTGTGAATGGAGATGCCCAGCCGCTTCTCAGCATCTGGAAGCAAAGCAGAAAGAATTGCCAGAGCAGCTCAGAGGTTGGGAAACAAGGGGATCCAAAGCCCCCTGCAAGCCGCCGTTCTTGGGTTGGAGGTGCCCAGAGCCCCCCCACCTCCTCCACCCGCTGAGAGTTGGGCAGCAAACGCACTTAATAAATTGCTTGCAAGCGAGAGAGAGAAAGAGAGCTGCCCATAAGGGTAGTAAAAGTGGCTGGGTTTGGGCGGTGCCCAAGAAGTAAACTCTCTGTGCCAGCCTGACTCACAGCCCCACAACAGAAGAGCCAAACATTCTGGAGCATAAATTGCCGCGGCCCAATTGCAGCCCAGCCTGCAGGGCCTGTGTGGATGGTGGCTTCAGTTCTGCTCTTCGGACAGCTCCCTGCCAGTGAAGCCTCAGGCCCCCAGAGGACGACGCCTGCACTCTTCTTCCCCAGGAGATGTTTGGACTCCCCAGCCGCTACCTTGCTTGGCTCCCAGCCCAGCTGAAGGTGAGCAGTGGCTGCTCCTTCTGAGGCTCCCACCCTGCTCTTCCCTGTGCCCAGTGGGGGCTTCTGATCTGGGACAGGCAGCCCCCTCCGCACCCCCAGCTTCTGAGATTGTCCTTGAAGCAAAGAAGCAGGCCGGGTGAGTACCTTGTCCAGAAGTGGGGTGAGGGCCATCTCTTGGGGCTCCACCTGGCAGAGGAGAGGAGAGACCTCCACCTAGAGGGAGACAGCAGGGGCTCAAAGCGTCTTCCTTTCTCTTCTGCTCCCCCCTCCACCCCCAGCAGAAGCATCCAGAGCCAGCTGCCTATCAGGGAAAATGTGGGGCCAGGGGCCGCCTCCCATCCCAGCTTCTCAATACTCTTTAGTCCTCCTGGTGGCCACCAGGGGGCAGGAGCTGTCTCTCAGATGCTTGTGTGTGTGTGTGTGTGTGTGAGTACCTTGTCCAGAAGTGGGGTGAAGGCCATCTCTTGGGGCGCCACCTGGGAGAGGAGAGGAGAGACCTCCACCTAGAGGGAGACAGCAGGGGCTCAAAGCGTCTTCCTTTCTCTTCTGCTCCCCCCTCCCCCAGCAGAAGCATCCAGAGCCAGCTGCCTATCAGGAAAAATGTGGGGCTAGGGGCAGCCTCCCATGTTGTAATATAGTTCCTTGTGTAGGTGTGGGTCACTCATGGCCCAGTTCATACTAGGGCCTGCAGAGTCACGCTGAATCACACAGGAGAAAACAAACTCCTAGAACGCCATAACATCCTGATAATGCATAACATAACATTCTGATATGTGTCCTACCATTGACGTCCAGGATTTAACCATATATAGACTTGAGCATCCCAGCTTCTCAATACTCT